CGGGAACTTTAAACCCTGTCGAAAAGAGAGAGCAGCATTACCATTAAATATTATGACGATAAAAAAATACTTTCAATGCACACCGGAAGTGTCACTAACGGAGAAATGGAGCGCAGCAGGCAGCTGCAGAGAGTTTACTTACTAAGAGAACCATGACAAAAAGCACTAGGCAAGCAATGGCAACATCTAACAAATTTACAGAGAGAAAGAGAAACACTTTGAAATGCGATGAAAGAAGACACAGATTCAAGAAAGACTGCATTAAGCTCGAGTAATTGTTACGGGTCATCAGCCCAGCAATTATACTGATCTATGAGTTACAAGCCTCCGCCAACCAAAATACAGCCCAGCCATTTCGATTTTTGCAAGCACATAATTTTTTAACAAATATTTCCAGTAAACTTTACATTTTTTAAAAACATTTCCTGCTAATGTTTTTTAATGAAATATAATACCACTGAATATAAAGCATTCGACAACAAAAACAATCTACGCCTACGTAGAGGTGTGCGCCGAGTTCAGAGCTAAGGAAACTGCTCAAAGTATCAATTTGAAACCCTTCAAAGATCAGCTTGGACATACGGAAAACACACCTTTGCTGAAAAATAATAACAGTGATTGGGGAGGCTAAAGGACTGAAAGACTTCTACAGCTACAAGAAATTTTACAAATCCTCAAGTGCAGTATAAAGTAAAGCAGGTTCAGTAAAATAAAAAGGAAATTAGCAGGAGGAGAATAACTGTGTACATTGGCAACTGCGCCTGTAGTGACGCAGCAGCTGTAGTCATTTTGTGCCCATATTTGTCCAGTAAGTCCAAGATAACACCGTTTGTCCAGCCAAATCCCGTCTGAAAAGAAATGATCATAACAGAGGTAGTAGATGTCCCAAATCAAAGGAAAAACGCAATACCCAAGATGACCTGTAATGCAGGCTTATCTTTTTGTCGCTTCTCGCTTCGATCATCAGTTTCAGCCAAAAATGAGATTTTTAAGAAAAAAACAAATAGTGGTGCGTGTAGAACAGTGTGCTCGAATATACATAGAATAGAGCGCTTGAATCTCCACAACAAACTTGTCGCACGAACTCACGCGAAAACTAGCCTTGCTGCGCGATAATCATCAAATGGCGCATATGGCGATTGTATGTTAAATTTTTAAAACTCAACGTCTACTCAGATATAATATCACTTTCGGTGTGTTGAAACCCTTCATATCACAATGTCTATGAATTTTTGAGCTGCAGCTCAGGCAAGAAACATTGAAGAGATCGTTTTCTTTAAAAAAAATATAGCTTAAGAAGGCACGCGTCACCAGAATTTGGCATCATGGAGTTTCAAATAACCTGAACTCGACCGTTGTCCTGACCCCTACGTTTACCTGAATAACGTATCTTTCGATTCTTCGATGCTGTTTCGTGTTGGCATTATTTCTGATCCTAATTTCCCATTTAACTTTCAAAGAAAGAACACTCATCTATGAATAATATAATGGCACTTTTATCTTCAGCCCTTACTCTATAAAGTGTTCAGTTGTTCAGGGAGTACTTGAAAGTAATAAAAGACGCTTTTGTCGAGCAGAAAACAATCCCTTAGAGAAATGAATAATAAACATTTTGCTTTCGAAACACACTTTATTTAAAAGCGCCATTATTAGAAAATAATAGAATAATGAAACTCGCCTGCACTTCGTACTCGCCACCCGAGCCAGCACTACACTCTTCGGTCATCGCAGAAACATTGTACTTTTCGAACATCGAGTG